CGCACCGTTGCCCGAGCGGACCGGCCTTGCGTGGCTGCGGACGCGGGACGAGCCCGTGGGCCCCAGCACTGCAGCGCCCTTCACGCGGGGCCGCGGCCCCGAGCGGCGGCTTTCCCTCCAAGCGCCCGCCCTCCCCCGCCATCTGACTTGGCGTTGGGGGACCCAGACCGTCTGGGCTGAAGAGGCAGCCGTGGGGGGCTCTGCTATTGGTGCTGGTCCATGGAACTGTCAAGAGCATGTGCCTCTGGAGTCGGACCCCTTCGCGAAAGTTCCTTAACCTCTTTAAACCTCAGTTTCCTTATCTGAAAAAAATCGGGTAAGCGTACTACCAATCCATGTCAAGGGGTTAAATGGGAACATAAGAACCTAGCGCAGGGCCTGGCCCTGGCTACACGTTCGATAAACGGTAGGGTTATAATCTGCACACTTTGCCCCAGTGGCCCAGTATCTTGGAAACGCTCCATGTAGCCCAGAAAGGGGTCCAGTCATTTCAGATAGTTCTTGGGAGCCTGGAAGCACATCGTGGGAATGGATCTCAGAGCACCTGCTGTCTTGCAGAGTGCACGCTACATAAATAGTTGCTGATCGATTCTGACCCTGGTGTGCTAACTGCATGTACACAGCTTTGGAGCTGGAGGGAATGAACAGAGAGCTAGTCCTAGACTCGCCAGGGCAGAGCTAGGATGAGACCTGCACACTCCTGGCCCAGGGGGCTCCCTGCCATACCCCAACATTCTTGCTGTTTGGGCACACCTCCAACTTGTAAACTAGATGCCTTTCAGTGGGAGGTACAGAAACCAGAGCAAGCCCAGTGGCTGTTGACAGAGGGTCCACGGATCAGCGTTTAACTGCCTCTGGGTGAGGGCTGGCTGTGCAGGACTGGGAAGGCTCCCTGTTCAAAATTATTAAGAATTTCAAGATAGAAGCAGCAGAGCATTCATCCAAGTGTGAGGCCCTTCTGACCACAGGACCTTGGGCAACTGTGGAGGTTTTGCACCTGTGAATCCAGCCCCACTCTGGGTTACAGTCTTTATCACTTTCTCTTTTACTTGTATGTCTTCCAGCATAAATCCTCGTTAAAGAAAATTTGGAAAATACGGAAATGAAAAAGGATGAAACGGACACCAGAGTTGGCCACTTGCAGGCACCACCAGCACCATGGGTCTATGCTGCCTTCTAGCTCGGTTTGCTTTTCACTGTACATCAACCATTTCCTTACATCAACCACCACGGTTGTAATTATACCGTATAAGTTTTGTGGCACCAAAACAATAAGAAAACATCACAGGAAGATGGGAATCATTCAAATATTTTGAGTTCCTTCGGGTTTGATCTATTGTCTTTTGCTTCTGCTGGTTTGTGCTGACAGAGTCCTCACTCTTCCTATGTCCACTAAGTTTTTATTGTGTGTCAAGCAGGTTTTTTTAAGTTCTTTGCAGAAATTCGAGGACTAAGATGATGTCATCTTTCTCCAAGGAGGATTTTCTACATCTTTTGCCAGGTGTCTGGGGGACACAAGCTTTCTAGAATTGTCTTGCTCCAAATTCAGGGTTTGAGATTTTCTGGGGTAACCAGAAGACCGTGGTCTGTTTCAGGGCTGGTTTTCTCGGTTCACCCTTATCCACAGGGAGTGGTCCTTTTAGATCCCTGGCCAAAGCAGGTGGTTATCAAGTCCCAAGCCCTGGTGGTCCTTGGACCTTGGCTTTTGCCCCAAGCCCTACAAAGCGCTTAAGTCCCAACTCAGACTTTTACCCTTCCTCCAGATCAGCAAATGCCCCGAAGGGCAAAACTGGCTCCCAGTGCTAGGTCGACCTGTCTGGATCCTGCCCACTCTCAGAACTTGGCCCCAGTAATTCCTTACTCTCTGGGTAAGTCTTTGATGCTTTTAAGAAGATGCTTTTAGATTTTATTCAACTCTTAAATTGTATTTAGTGGGAGGATTGGTCTGAATGATCTAGCCGAGCTTTACCAGAATCAGGAGTGTCTACATCAAAATAAAATATCAAACAAAAAAAAAATTGAATCCATTATCCTACCACTCTGACTTTCAAGGCTCCATACATACTTTAGCCTCTATTTTTCTTGACCTTTCCCCAGCCCTGCTTTATCTTGTGTCACCAATTGCAGAATTATCTGGGGGAGTAGAATCTCAGAAAATAAGAGGCAGTTACAGTTTATTAATTCAACAAATGTGATTTAGTGGTGGCGGGCACTGTCAGGGACTCGAAAGATTCCTAGCCTCCTTGGTGAGGTTATAAATAACTCCTTCACAAGGGAGCGTTGGAAGAGGGAGGAGGAGAAGAACTGCCCGTGACACAGTAGAGGACGGCAAGAGAGAAAGTAATGAGGAATGGATGTTGAGAGACCAACCTACATTGTTTCATCAACTGTAGACATTGAAAAGGCAATTGCTTTATTTTTTTTCCTAGCCACCATGCAGCCACATGCAGCCATTTGACACTGTTTGAGCTCAGGAGATATATACTTCTTTTTGCCTGGAATGCAGACGGGACGCAGGGAGGTACCGCAGCCATCTTGTGACAGTGGGGAAGAAATCAACACATTAAGAACGGAAAAGCTAAAAAGATAGAGGAAGTGCCATTGACAACATGATAGAGCCACCAAACCAGCCCTGAACGTCCTATCCTCTGACTTCTTACAGTGCGAGACAATAAAGCTTCTGACTTTTTTAAGCCATGAGAGTAAGGAATTCTGTTATGGGTAAACACAATTCTTAACTGATACCATGGTTTAATGTGGGGGGGGGGTTGTGTTTTCCTGATAGAGAGGAAATCAGATGGATAATCAGTTCAGGGCTGGTGTAGCAGCTCCTTGACATCCTTACTGTCCCCACCTCCTTTTACCTTCCTGACTTACATCCTTAGCACGTGGATTTGGTTCTCATGGCCACAAGAAAGCTGCTGCATCTCCATCCATGTTGCGGGCAGGACAAAAGAAAAGAGCCAAAAGGTCTCAGCCCATGAAGGCATGTTTTTGGGAGAGTAAAGGAAACCCTCCCCAGGGATCTCCTGCATTTGCTTGGTCAGTCTGGCACTCAGCTGCCGTTCCTAGTTGCAAGTGAGTCTGAGAAGATGAGTCTTTTCTCGTTCTGGCCTTTATCAAATAGTAAGGCAAAGAAAAAAGGGTTTTGAGTGGCCTTTTGGATATCCACATTTCTTCCATACCCATTAGTGGGGTTTTCGCTCATAAAACTTTCAAACGTAGGGGCACCTGGGTGGCTCAGTCAGTCCGACTCCCGATTTCGGCTCAGGTCACGATCTCAGGGTCCTTGGATGAGCCCTCAGCGCCGTACTCAGCAGGGAGTCTGCCTCTCCCTCTCCTTCTGCCCCTCCCCCACTCATGTGCATGCTCTCTAAATAAATAAATAAATAAAATCTTTAAAAATTTTTTCAAATGTATAGAGAGGTAGAAAACGGAGTATAGTGAACATGCATCTCCGTATCACCCACATTCCACAACCGTCAACATTTTGCCACACGTGTTTCCTGGTTGTCCCAAATTGTATTTTACAACTGGTTTGTTCCAACCAGAATATAAAGATTTTCCCTCCACCCCTCACCCTTAGGACTTTTTAACCATTTTCTTGCGTGTGATCTATCCGACAATAATTCTTTCCAAGCTGAGCATCTGCCACAGACAGTTCCATGCTGAGCACGGTGACTGGGTTCAGGAAGCCCATGTCTGTCGCTGTGTGTGCCTCCATATCTCTCAGTCGGCTTGTCTGACTCTGGACCATGTCCACTTGCGTGGCACGCATGCATTTGCGTGGAGGAGCTAGCTATGAACTACAGACTCGAGAGTACTGGATCAATCCCCTCTTCATTCTTTAAAATAACTGAAATCTAACTTTGAGTCTTCTTCCCACTTGACTAGCAAGGAATTCAGTACCAGCGTTCGCCAGGGCTCCCCATGAGATCTGGGGGGCTTCCATCCACCAAACAGCAGGCATCTCCTCTCTCTGCCACTGGTCATCTGCCCACGCCACTTCCTGCTGCCACCCCAGCTGGCCCAGCCCTGGGCCTCCTGCTCCCTCCTAGCACAGGAGCCCCCGTGCCCGGCTGCACACTTCCTGCGCACCACACAGCCCTGCCCGTGAGGTCTTGCCTCCTCCACCAGTCCTGGACGTCCAACAGCATATAGGGTCCCCTCTCCTCCAGAACCCCAACTTCAGCCTCTTTCCCGTCTGCAGGAGATTGCTCCCCACTGCCGCCTGGCTGTTGGCAGAACCATCCTCCCCTCTGGTCTCGCCCCACAGGGACATCTCCCAGAATCTCTCCAGAAGCGCAAGCCTTCCGAGGTCTTCAACTTTCCAGCTCGCAGTTTATTCAGCCAATATTCATTAGTATAACTGCAGCGATGACGGTCATCTTGAACGTTTTCTGTTCTGACTGGTAAATAGCGTTAACGTTTGTGGCAGCAAAC